CGACAGCATGAATCGACGTATGGAAGCTGTGATAAGAGCTAGAGGTCGTAACACAAAACACTAAGATAAATGTCTTGTAAAAAAGTGTACCCTATGTACGGTTACGTTTTAGGTTGAATTTGAAATATTTTGCATTAATAGATTTTCTTATTTTCTGTCTTTTTAATTTTTTCTATTTTTTCTTCTTGTTTGCTTTTCTTACCTTTTTTCTTTTCATTGGTTGTCTCACAAACTAATGCTATCAAACTGTCATTAGAATAACAATGAACAAGGCCACCTTATTAAAAAGTAACGTATCTTAAGTAAATTGTTAGTGACAAATTCATTTCGCTCTTAAAAATGAACGAAAGCACTTAAAGAGATGAACCAAAAAAACCAAATGTAGGGAACGAATGGTTCTTAACCAAAAGTATATTTTGAAATAATTTATACACTAAATTATTCCACAGGATGTTTTAAAATTAGGATCCTAGAACGGTGTTTCAGTTAACCCTGTATACTGACTAAATGACCAGCATTTAACAAAAGGGTGGATATTGAACATGAAATTAGACATTTTTATCTACAGTTTGCTGAAAAAATGTATTTATTTATTTATTCATTCAAAATAAACAGGATTTCCCCTAATTACAGATTTCAGAATTACCTATACTAAATTAATACATAATAATTAAAGAGAATTGAATTAAATATTAAACTAAATTAAATATTCAACTAAACAGTACTCGATTTGTAAGCAAACAATAAAAAAGCAAATAAGTAAAAATAAACAAAATGAAACAAAATAAAACAATAACATAAAAACGGAATAGAAGAATGGAACAGAATGCGCGAAGAATTATGAACTATAATAAGATTCTATAAGATCAGCAACTGCACTGGGCGGTTGCAACGTTCATCACAGTCATCAAACTCTTTTTTACTGTCTTTGCATCAACGGCAAATAGTGGGATGAAGGACGCCATAGATAGTTTGTTATATAACAAGAGAATTCTAATAAAAGAAGAATTTCTTCTTAGTTCAGTGGTAAAGCGGGGAATGTAAAATAGATTTTTCAATCGTCCACAATATGCCGGCACGTAAAAACCAATCTTTACCAAGATTAAAGGTGCATCTATTTTATTATTTAATGAAAATTAAACGAAAAATAGAAAAGTTATTACATTTCAAACTTTACCAAATATTAGCTTGTTGCGTTTTTTCTGCACCTGAGTGTATAATTGCTAAATAGGAGACTAGTGAAAACCAGGGGCAGTGTGTTAGTTGTGTTAAAAGGGTTGGAAGGATCAGAGAGAAATGTGACAACGATTATTATATAAGAAAAATATGTAAAATATTTGTATTTTGAGTAGTCTCTTACAAAAAACATTGTCATTAACGTACCCGCATAAAAAATACATTCAATAAAGGATACCGACATTAAAAACTTGAAAGTTCATAAATTATTCTATAACATCGTTGAGGAATCATAATCAAATATGATTTGTGTATTAACTGACTATAGACACATTACAAATTTACTATTTTAATTACTATTTTAATCAAAGACAATTTAATATGTTTTTAACAGATTTTTAAAGTGTACTATAACATGTTATTTTAAATTTATTATAAATGTTTAACTCTGTGTTACTTAATAAAATTAACAAGTTTCTAATCATATTATGCGACCGTCGAAGCATAATAGTCGAGAGAAAGCTCATCCGGTGAAAGTTCGTCGGCCGAAATTTTGTTCTCAGTTATTCGACAGTTTGCAAGTAACATCATCGCAGGTTCTAACGTTATTAAAGCGGCACACTTTGAAGGCTTCCAGAGAGGAAACGTGGACGTTGCAACGGCAAAAGGGTCTCATGGAATTAAATATATAAAATTTCTATAGCAACAGACTCATTAGTGGGGTGTAATTTTAGACGTTAGAGCGAGCACTCGCTGTCTTTTTCCTGTCCGAATCTCGTTATGCGTTGTTTTCCGCTTTACCAATGTATCGTATTTTAAATTTTAACAAACCTAATATAGACTTTTAACAAGAAATTACGTGAAATAAGATTAAAATCAAAATTTCCTAAAAATTTGTGAAATTGTATTTATAACAATATTTTCTTGGAGGATTATTGTTTGGAGAAAGCTTTATCTAAAACTATTTATCATCCCCTGTGACAGGAGGGCAAAGTTGCCTCCGGATGATTTGTACAATGTGCAGTCGTAATTCGCAAACGTGGCTACGTGCCGTATTCAGCAATCGTCAGCAGTTGGTGTGGCGTTGAAAGTCATAAAATACTGAACTTAGGGTCCATATAATACGCCCGCCTGACCGATCGAAAGGACCTTAGTTCTGTTCATCTTTCTTTCCCTTATATTATTTGCTTTATGTCAGAGGATCCGCGTAGAAAATCGTAAAAAGAAAACGACACTTTTGTTGCTTTTTACTATTTAATCTAAAGGTCAAGAAATAAAAAATTCATATCGTGCTTTTATTTTTTTTCGGGTCTAAAAGCTTCTAGAGTAGCTACAAGCTAAAAAGTTACATACTGCGGTATATTTATTTATTGATATTGGTTTATGCTTACGGCATGTCTACCAGAACTAATATTGATTCGATTTAGTTTGTTTATAAGGTATTAACTACTAATGCACAAAACGTGTTTTGGTGAGAATCTCGTTATTATGTAGGGGTAACCTTTAATGAAGAACCTATTGATTAAAATTAAAGATTTAAACAAATATATAATTTATGAAAATACCAAATAATTATAAATGAGAAAGCAAAAAACCTAAAAATATAAAGCTACAAAATCTACAAAAATATTTAACACTAAACTCAATACACTAGAAATTTTAAAAATACTTTTTTGTAGAATTGATGTAACAGCAATTTTTTGACTTGGTAAGTCGACGAAGATATTTCCTGAAGAAGTATTGTATTAAATACAGCTATGAGTTATTGTTTTGCTATGTAGCTTAAAATAAGATTAAAGTTCATCAATAAAATTAGTTGCGCTTAGTTGAGTTATAGAAAGTATTTAAGTCCGGCTTACATTAATCTTTAGAATTTTTATCGTCGGAATATATAGTTGGAAAGAGTAGGACCTTCTTAAATTTGTGTGGCACATATGATACCAAAACACCTGTTTTTAAGAAGACAAACTTGAAACTAGTACTTATGCACTGTACTTCTTATAGTTCTAATAATTGACAATTTAGAATAATTTAAGTTATGAGAATTTACAATGATAGAACCTTAAAGTCCTAAAGATAAGTACAAGAAATTCTTAAAATATTTGTTGAACTAAACGTTGAGAACATGTTTGCAGAATACACCACATGATCCTTGTGTGTGACAAAGCTCTAGGTAATGAAAGAGCTGCTCGTCACCTTTATCAAGATCGTTATCCACAACGTGCTGCATGAACAATAACTACATTCATATCACCTCTAAAGTATACTTTCACTACTGCCAGCCGATTTTGTACCACGCGTTGAGTTCTGCACATTTTCTTCACAGATGAATGTGATTTTATCTGCCATGTCGGGGCAGACGAAAATTCATGCTCCGCGTGTTCAGGGTCCAACACAGATTTGTTATAAATGTGTGGGCGGTATTCTAGATAGTTATGTGATTGGACCGTACATTTTCCGATCCAGGCTAATGGGTGACATCAACTTGATCTTCCTACAACAAGTATTGGACGTGTTGTTGAGTTTAGTTTATGTGACTCCTGTAGATATAGAAGAAGATCTGGTGGCACGAGTTGTGGTCGTTGTAGGACAGATTGCGGATACACCAGGTGTGATGGAGCGAGTTTATCAGAACATTATTCATAAGTACAATCCAAGCAATAAATTAAAAGATAACAAAATAAAGTTGCAATAAGTGCATGCAATAAAGTTGGTGGTCGCTACATCGAATCGCACTTGTAGTGGATCAGAAGCATCCTTTGAAAAGGACAAAAACAGTTTAGGTGTTCCTATTCAAAATATTATCTGCCCAGTACCTTCTACAAGTTCTAGAACTTTATAAAGGGAATTTTAGAAACCCAGTATAAGTAATATATTAAAGTTAGTTTTAACAACTGGTATTGCAGTTTTGCAACAAACGGTTAATAATTATAACTGATGCTTTGTCAAATTCGATAATTATGTTCAATCCTCAGCGAATATTACATTTGTTACACCAGATCTTAATATAGTGGCAGATTATTGTTAATATTAACACTTTTGATATATTTTATCCTAATATTGAATTCAAAAAATAGCTCGAGATGAAAATTTACAACAAAACCTTCCTGTGTAACTTAGCTCGGATAGGTGGATGACTACAATACAACAGTTAGGTGTAAAAGTCCTACTTATGTACCATATAAAGTTATTAAAAAGAAATTACACTTTGATGCCAACATCGTTATATTAAATTTTAATCTATTATTATTATTGGAATAATTATACCAAATGCGATAGGAAACGTATATTTCACAAACAGAAACGGAACAAAAAGTCGAATGCACGCAGTATTTAATTACTATCCCCGAATAGGGGGTAGTATGATACCGATATTTTGTTTCCCATCGTTAAACCCTACTGCGTACTGTTGCATATGTTATTTCGATCGACACAAAGCACCAGAAGTATTATCCCCGACTTCCGTCGTAACGACCGAACATAATTGATACCCACCTATCTATTTTAACGATATTACTGAGGTTTCCCAATACAGGAAGTGCATTCGAGTTGAACACGTGCTGCTTCTACTTCGATGTTGCGTTTGGTGGTATAGTTCCAAAGACGAATGGTCGCACAGAGAACGTGCTTATTACTAGGAGGGTTTCCTCCTTGGAGAGGTTCACGAATGGTGAGAAACAATGGGAAACGACTGCCGTAAGCGTCTAGAATCCGGGCATTTGTACTAATAGAGTTACCCGGCGTTATTGTGGCGGGAACGTAATGGGGAAATTTGAAATAACGCAGCAGTAAACGTGAATGGTGTCTATGTTGGTTTTGATGAAGAAGGAATTATCTAAGTAATGTAAATTAAAGATTTGGTTAAGAATCTTTTAAGAATTCTTGAATGCTAATTTGTTTTCTGTAATAAAAATTTAGATTTCAAAATAATTTTATTAAAATCAATTATAATCGTTATTGTGTAATCAAACAGCAAAATTACAATATCAGGAAGTCCATTATCATACAAGAACGATCAAGGTTGAAAAGGTTAAAAATCAATAAATAATTCGCAATCTACGATTACGATTTTTACATTTATTACGATAAATATTATAAATACTTCAATAGGCGCACTAAATATTCTATTTTGAGTGTGTTAATTTACAGACACTGTCGCTCTATAAAATGGTAAGTTATTATACAATTTTTATAAATGCTACATTTTATTATTTCCTTTTACTTTGTTTTAGAAACTATTTTCAATACTTATCTTAATATTATATTTTACAATTTCCATCAACGCAGAATGCTGCTGTTGTAGTAGTTCATATTCAGGTTGTTGTACCAGCAAATGTTACACGGTGAACTGTTGCAAAACAATATGTGATAATACCACAACATCTTCAACAGAATCACCACCAACTACCATAACATCACCTCCCTCAATTCACAACTCATCACATTCATCAAAAAGTAACTTAAACGCTGCCATCACTTTGAGTAATCAAGTCTATAACTATAATAATATTTCAAATCCTGTAAGAGTGTTCGCATCAAATGTTAACAACGTCTACGTTGTAAACAAACAAAATTTTTCTATGAAAGTAACATTTCCGCCTAGAGACAATACGACAACGAGTATACCTTCAAGTACAATTACTTCAACTTCAACCACTACGTCAAATACTACTACTGCAACTCCACCCACTACTCCATCGAGAATTTGTTGTGTGATACCGTGTTGGTATGGTATTTGTCATCAATCAAGATGTGAACACAATTGTTATCATCAACCTTACTATTACAACGTCCATTCATGCCAGTCTTCTTATGGTTGCGTAAGAAGGTCGCATTGGAATAGAAGAGTTTGTTCAGGATATTCCTGTGGATATATTCAGCAAGATTGTTCTAGTTGCTATAGCTCTCAATATTATTCTAGTTATTCGGAATATTCAAGTTGTTATGGATGTTTCTATTAAAAATGTATCTTTTGAAAATATTTTTGTAATACCTATGAAATAAACAGAACTATTATTAAAAACGGTGTATTATTAGATTAAAATAGAGTAATTCAAGTTTCAATGTAAAAAATATTCAGTGCGTTGGTGTCAGCACCTGCGTACATTAACAGATGTAATTGAGTATTTGGATGCAGAAGATCACGAGCCGATAATGTTGTAACCGATACATATAATCAAACTTAATCCAATTACATCCAACAAAGCGTCTTATAAATAGCAACCTTCACTCACCTTGAATTTCAGAATTCACTGTATATTTTTGTTCTATTTAATAACCAAGAAAATTTAATTATCCGATTGCGCTATCTCAGAAAATACCTTGGAAGTGTATTTCCGCGCATCGATCTCGAACTGAACCCCAATTTATACTTTTAAGTACATTAAACTATTTCATAATTTCCATACAAATCCATAATTAAATCCATTTCACGTTTTTTAAACCAAAAATGCATAACATATCTGATCTTACACTTTAGTAAATCCTAAGATATCACACGTGCTAATTTCTAATTAGATAAATCCAGCTACTTAATCTTAAATAAATCTTAAAACCTCCTATTAATTACGAAGAAAGAACTTCTGTTTTGAAATTTTGTTTTGAGACGTGTTTGATTAAGATCATACTTACATTTAAGAGAACACGTGCTTATTTGCGGAAGGATATGGTGAAGCAATGGTTCGAGTGGCTGTAGTCGGATCCTCGCTAATGGCGATATCGTATGACACATCCTGATAGGGGTCATATTTCGCTGGGGAAGGCTGCTAGAACGTGTGCAATCTGTCACACGCGTGTCGCTGCAGGGGAACTAAAGGAAACCGCCTCTTGTCGCCGTTCAAACTTTTGTAATCTACTTTTCTGTGAATATTCCCCATGCGGCGAAAGTACCAAGAGGTAACGGGATACGGCAGATTCCGCTCATCCCTTGTCTCCCGAAGGAATTCTTATATGAAATCGCGAGTACAAAAAGGACAATAACTTTAATATCAACACGTGTCTCCGAAAAGAAATTTCGTTATATTTCAACATACTTTACAACTAGCAATTATTTTAAAACCTACTACCTATTAAACAGTTGAATTGTATATTGTAAAGGAATCACACAATAGTCTATGGAGAGTACGACGTGACATTACAGTTTTGTCGCCCTCGAGCTGTCTCAGGATGGCGGAAGAGAGGTCACGCAAAGATAGAAGTGTAAAGGGGTAGCCACAAGTGGCCATTGAGAGCTGCAAGCCTTGCAGAGAGACAAGAGAGAGACAAGTGGCACGATCTCCGCCAACTTCACGTGTAGGCAGCAGGATTTACATCCGGCAAGGCGCCGAGAGACTCCGCCCGCCGGGCCCCCTTCGAAGGTCCCCCTTCGCCTTCCAGGAGAATAGGAAAGCGGATGAGAGTATTGTCTGTGCAGGAACGGAAGAGGCATTATTGCACTAGGAGGTACTCGAACTCCATCAATGGTATTAGGTTCTTTTTCCTGGAGATAAACTGTTTGGGATCGGGTTTCTAGAGGAGAAGCCTGTGGAATTCTTGATTTCGGTACCACGTTCGTGCACTTGAACGCTGATTCCGACTTAGAATTAAATCATTTTCACCCGTTCGTATTTTAAAGTACTTCGGAATCCATTAATAGTTGATTGTTCAAGAGCAAAGTTACTTAAAACTAAAATTGAAGTTGGAAATAATTTAACGATGAATTAAAATTTAATATTTTAAAAAATGCATTGCAAATCTATTATTATGTTTGTTATCCGTCGAATATTTACGATATGATAAAAACAATCAATTTATTATCTGAAAAGTTCAGCTTATAGGTTATGACCTTTAACTTCTCATTGTTTTCTAATTTTGAAAATTGTTGACATCTTATTTTATGATTTCCGATATTAAGTAAAGGATGAGATCTTAATTTTACTTATATCTGTCGATTTTTTATTGTTACGGTAGAAATAACAACTATATTGTAACAATTGTGGATAAAATGTTTTGTAATTTGTTAAATGTTTGTGTCTATAAACGACGTTAAATGTCTGTAGTAATCTTCTCCACTCCCATGAGGGTAACATATCGCCTTAAGCCCTTAACCGCCAAACGACAAATTCAATTACCGTCGTTTAAAGTGAGCAGTAAATCCGGTGACATAGGTCATAAGTTGCGCGTCCCGTTTAACCCGTTCCGGGGACGACAGAAATCCGGACGGACCGGTTCGAGCAGGTTCATCGCTGCCCGGTTTATCATTTAGATAAAGACGGCATTAGCGATCCGTAGTCGGTCGGATTAACATTCAGGAAGCCATTAGCTAAATGACGTGATGTATCTGGTGATTACTTCCACTCCCGGCAAGGCCCAACTCCTACATCAAGGTAGAGCGGATACATCAGCCATGATATCCTCTCTACTTCCACCGAGCTATTAATGTATTTTACCGTAGCTGGGGCAGTTTTGGGGAAAGCGAGTTAGGGGTTGGATAGAAGAGGTGGAGAAGGCTAAAGGGGGCCGATATAGCGCCTAGATATGGCCCATATCCGACGTGCATTGAAAAAAAAAACCTTTGGAAGGTAATAGAGGAGGTTACGGGGAAACTGGGATGGGTCGTCAGAAAAAAACGTTACCAAGTAATAGCTTATTGATTACGCCAGAGCGCAAACACCGTTCCCCATTAATCATTTACCTCATATTGATATATTACATTTGGTAGCCGGTAATAGCTAATTTGTCTTCAACTCAAAAAGCAATTTGCAGTGTTTTTCCAATGCAATCATATGATGAATATTGGTGAGGGGATGGCAAAGATAAATTACAGTATCTAATCGATCATTAAAACTACATATCATCACTAAAATATACAAAAAAAATCATAAAGCTTTAGATAAAAGTTTCAAGAAAAAATTGAATTTCTACAGAGTTTGTGTGGTGTAATGTTGCAATTGAGGGATGTTTATTTTAATCAAATAAGAAAAATATACACAGGTTTATAGGAGAAGATAGTTTAGTGTTGATTTGAGTATTTTTATACTGATTTTAAAAGACATTTTAAGGTTTACTTTGCATAACTAGGTTACCTCCTAGAAAGCATCAATAAATTATTTGTGTGGCTTTGAATTAAAATCGATTTTGGCAGTGTAGCACACTTACACCATCTAACAAATTCTCATCTGTACTCCCTCCGTTTACGACGACGTCGTCGGTGATTTACACGGTAGACGGTAAATTTTGGGCGTCGGAGAAGCGTCGCAGGGTTCACAACGACGCCGCAATACGTATTCGCACGTCCGAAAACGGCTGATGTAGTCGCGTTTGTAAAATTTATGCGTGAAAAGGGGAAAACTTGGCGACCGTTTCGTCTCTAACCCCGTTAGCCAGCGCATTAGACCGTTTGCTTTTAATTTATGTGAGCGCTTCGTATGATTTGCGAGAACTTACATTTTCCTCGTGGACGTAGATATCCGAGTAAATAAATCTCCTACCCAGAATATGCCCTTTTATCTCACGAACACTTTATTATACAGATGAAAAATGGTTCTGGAAAATAACTCAAACGTAAAGTTAGTTAAATATAAAGTTTACCATGAGGCGACAAACATATATGATAGCATTAAGGGTGATTTTGACGACTTAATAAAATTTAATAAAAGCCACTTAGAATAGAAACATTCGATAAAATCAATCGCGAAACGGGGTTTATGCAAATGCGCACGATTCCAATCTCATTTCCTGTTAAAAATTTAGCACGGCGATTTAATTAAACTTTAACGCGCGTCAATTGCGGCCCAGTAATTGCTTTTTTCAATTCGTCCGGTAACGCGAACAATCGAGTAACAAGTTGCGTAATCGGCTCACGACTCGCACCGCCGCCGTCAATATTGAACGCAAAATATTTTTCCTTTATTATTTCCGTTAGTTGAGCGTTGCGTCGCTGGTTTCGACAGTTCAACATAAAAAACATTTGAACACTACCCGCCAACAAATAAAATAGGAGCACTGTTTCGAAACGAATCGTTAGAATTATTATTTCCTGAAACTCGGGAAATTTAATTTCCTGTACGAAAATTATTAAAAACTGACGTACCATACGTAATGTGTATTTATAGGCAACAAATTTGAATGAATCGCAATGTACATTCATACATTTTTTCATTTATAAATGCTTTGTCAGATTATCCTTTCTCTTTGTACACAGTGTTGCAACGTTTTATAGTAGATAGAGCTGTTTGCACAAACTATGCAGACGTAACAAATACCTGTGATATTCTTCAAATAGTGTCATTTTATATAAATAAAAAATTAAAAGTTTTACCCTAAAAACTTTATTAAGTCCCTCAACGACAATTTGGAATCACACATCTGTAGCAACAAACCAAACATAAGTATTAGAGGGTAAACTGTGCGAAGAATTATAACGGGACTTACTCGAAGAAACCTCACGAAGAAATATCTTACGTCACAGCACCAAAACCAGTAATCAGTAATTAATAGATACACAAATGTTATTCATTCATAACTGAAATCTACGTTGCCTTGGGACAGATCATCGCCATAAGAAAAAATATTTTAAACTGTCGATCTGATGAAAGCTTATCAAGAAAAAATCGAGAACTGCGATAGCGACACATTTCGGTTTTGTACAACTTTTCGTCTATTAACGTATATATCGATGATACAAGCGGCGCTTCTATCTCAAAAAGATTTTTGAACAAAAAAATATTAGCATGCTTGACGAAGAACGGAATCCTATTAAACGCTACAACACATATTTTAGCACTTATATATCCAGTGACGATCTAATCGATTCTAAGTATTTTACCAATAAACCAAAATATAACAATAAAACTTCTACGGTTTACTGCAACAATCATCTCCAAACAAGATATACCGAAGACGGCAAAACTTTATGCACCTCTAAGCGACCAATTGCAGTGAATTTTGAAAGGAAATGCCCAAATCGTCAGTGGTAAGTCGGTAGTTTTGGGCATTTACAAATTCTAATAAAACTTTCGCATTCCTAATGACATCCAACAGTAA